CTGCACTTCAGAAATCAGTTTAAAGGGTAATAAAATAATTAGTGATGTAATATTTTCCCTATAATTATTACAAAAACAAGTAAAAAAAAGTATAAATAAGTATTTATATTTATGTAGCCTTTGTTTTTAGGGTTATTAACGAGGTTCGTGTACTCAGACCAGTAATATTTGGGGTCACAAGTTTTTGCCATGAATATTTTGTGGGTCAGAAGACAAAAAGTTTGGGAACCACTGGTCTAGTGCACCAAACTGAAGGGGGTCCTCAAGACAGTAACAATTAAATAAAGATTAAATAAAGTGGTCAAATGCAATGACAGTATGAAACACAAGACATTGAAATGACTGGCGTACTCACCTGTAGCAGCTGCATTTCATCCATTTCCTCAACTTTAGCACAAATTATAGGCTATTGTTGGTCTGGTTGGTGAACATATATCTATATTAAATTAATATTATAAATCTAAAAGCTGCCACAAATATATAATCCAACCATTTAATGGCACATTTGGCCTAACCAGGAAATATATAAAAGACACATAAAACATAATGAGTTTTGAAAAATATAATTTTTGAAAAACAAAACATGGCAAATATCATGATATTTCATATCGTGACCCTGTGTCATGATGTGTATTATTTTTCCAAATTCTTGCCAACACACCGTTACCTAACCATTTAGCTTCACTAAATTTAGTTCTTCTAACAGGTAGTTTGAAAACGAAAACTATCGTCTCACATGTTCAGCTCCACGTCTGCATCATGTGCCTAATTTTCTTACCGGTTTGGTGGTTTAGCATTTGCAAAGCTATTTTTTTTAGTTAGTAAACTGGTGGTTAGCAAAGCCAAAGGTTTTGCTAGCTAAACTAATTTAACACTAACAACGGATTTGATGTGGTGTCAAAGTTTTTCAGACAGTCCCAAATGTTTGAATAACTTTATGAAATAAAATAATTACCGTTCGATCTGCTCAGGCCAGCACAAAAAGAACAAGACATGAGACATGGTTAGTGACAACAACTGGATGTGGCTGTAACACAAAATGCTTTTAAAAACCACCAGAAACCAGAGAAAACGTTCCACTTTTACAATCTCAGTTCTAATGAAGTCAGAAAAATATAAAACAAATAAAAACAGAATATGATTATTTGCAAACCCTTTCCTTCCTATATTCAGTTGAATACACTACAAAGACACAATATTTAATGTTCAAACAAATAAACTTTATTGGTTTTTGCAAATATTTTTGAATTTGATGACTGCAACATGTTCCATAAAATCTGAGCCAGGATCAAATAGAGACTGGGAAAGTTGAAGAAGACTGAAAACCACCTGTTGTGAACAGGTTAACTGGAAACAGGTGAGAGTCATGGTTGGAAATAAAGGGAGCATCCCAGAAAGGCTCAGTCGTTCACAAGGGTGGGGCGAGATTCACCACTTTGTGAACAAATAGTTTAAGAACGTTTCTCATTTGCAAGGAATTTAGAGATTTCATCATCTACAGTCCGTAATATCATCAAAGACTCAGAGAATCTGGACAAATCTCAACAAGTTTGTAGMAAGGCTGAAAACCATCATTAAATGACCTCTGACCCCTCAGGAGGCACTGCATTAAAACCCCACATCATTCTGTAACAGATACAACACATGGACTGAGGAACACTTCAGAAAACTATAGTCAGTGAACACGGTTCATCTCTACATCTGCTAGTGCATCTTAAAGCTCTATCATGCAAAGACAAAGCCAGATATCAAGAACACCCAGAAACACGGCTGGCTTCTCTGGACCTGAGCTCATCTGACATGGACTGACTCAGAGTGGAAATCACAGATGTCATGTCCTCCACACCAAAGAGGAAAAGGACTGTCTGGATTGTTATCAGCACAAAGCTCAGCTGCCAGCCTCTCTGATGGTATGGGGGTGTATTAATGCCCATGGCATGGATAACTGTCCCATCTGTGAAGGCTCCATTACTGCCAAAAGCTACATCCAGGTTTTGGAGCAACATATGCTGCCGTCCAAGCTACGTCTTTTTCAGGAAAGTCCTGCTGATTTCAGCAAGACAATGAAGACACATTCAGCACGTGGTACAACACAGTGGCTTCATAGTGAAACTGTGAGTTCTAGACCAGCCTGCCTGCAGTCCAGACCTGTCTCCCATTGAAACTGTGACACATTATGACACACAACATACAACAACAGAAACCCTGAACTGTTGAGCAACTGAAGTTCATCAAACTAGAATGTGAAAGAACTCCAGCTGCAAAGCTTCAACAATCAGTGTCCTCTGGTCACAAACACTTATGCTGCGTTCACACCGAATGCGATTTCAGCGTCAAAATCGCAGCCAACGCTGAAGTTTGAAGCTTGTGCAC